GATTCTATTTTGGAGGTCTTAACCCGATATCTGCCGCACGTATCTGGGAAAGGGTAATCCAATAATGTGGCCTCTATGGATGCAACGTGTAGGGTAAACTTCCTCTTAAAGAGTATGAAATGCTTGAAATTGTACAACGACAATTTTGTAAAAAAGTTCAAGAACTACACAAGCGCACTCCCAGTATTGTTGTATTGGATTGTATCAGTATCATGCCACTACGGTATTACATAGATAAAAGAGCCCCCTACTATTGGGGAAGTTATTGTATTGCAAAGTATAATTGTGTTTTTAAAGTAATGTTTCTAGTTCGCCTTGGTCAATTTATGTGTACAGATAGTTAGTTCTACATGCAACGTATGTAGTAGACAATCCCCGATATATAAAAGGCACATAAAGAAACTGTGCATACAAAAAATTTAAATCTAAATTTATCAAACCTGTGTAGACACATAAGGATTGAAACTCAGAGATTAGTGACATGTACCCAACATGCATGCACGTGCCACGTTCCGTGACGTCAGTGGGTTCGTCCTTGAGACGTGCAATACGTTGTTGCACGTGCATTCCGGGAAAGAGAAACAGAGCAAATGAATGCCACACAATACTGTCACTTTAGGAAGGCTCAACCCCTGCCCTTGCGATCGTTCAAAAAATTAAACGGCTATTGAAACGCATAGCATGCCAAGGCTCACGTCTGCACAACGTCATGAGGTCATTGGGATGGTCCGTCGGGGAATGTCTCAACGACAAGTGGCTGCACATTTCCACTGCCACCGGAACACCATTTCTGCACTGGTGAGACGCTACCAGAACACAAATGACGTCATCGATCGACCACGTTCTGGACGTCCACGTGTAACAACGCCAAGACAGGACAGATGGATAAGGGTGACCCATCTTCGCCACAGGTTTCAGACTGCAGTGATGACTGCCCGAACCATCCCAGGACTTCGCCGTATCCACGCCAACACAGTTCGACAACGTTTACGTCATCACGGGATCAGACCACGACGCCCCACCATACGGCCTATCCTGACACAACGTCATCGTCAAGCTCGCCAAATGTGGTGCCGAAATCATGTCCGCAGACCCTTGTTTTGGTGGAGAAATGTTGTTTTTACAGATGAGTCCAGGTTTAATAATTTCCCATAGTGATGGACGTCAACGTGCCTATAGACGCGTGGGAGAACGTTATGCACAGGCCTGTGTCTTGGAGAGAAATCGCTTTGTTGGTGGTTCCGTGATCATTTGGGGTGGATAACAGCACGCCAAAGAACTCCTTTGGTGATTGTTCAGGGCAACGTAACTGATGTGGGCTACAGGGATCAGATTCTTCGACCTGTGGCAATTCCTTTTCTGCAACGTCATGGCCCTGGGTTAACATTCCAAAAGGACAATGCCCGCCCTCATACGGCAAGAGTTGCTATGGATTTCTTGCAACACCACAACGTTGACTTACTGCCTTGGCCTGCAAATGCACCGGATCTCTCCCCGATAGAGCATGTTTGGGACGAGATGGATCGACGTCTACGCCGTCTTCCTCATCCGCCAGATAACGTCCGTGACCTTGCAACAGAACTTGAGAGAATCTGGCGTGACATCCCACAAGCGAATCCCCACATGGGTACAATGTGTGAGGCCCATTTCTGGTGTCCCCCGCCGTGATGTTGCTGGAATATTGCTAAAAGCGGCGTAAAACCAAACTCAGTCAGTCAATCAGGTGTATTTTCACATGACGTTATGATGTGAGACAAGGGATCTGAAAGGAAGTTACCACAGTGTTCGCCCAGATACCTTTCAGTCTTTAACAGTTTGTAAACGGCCACACTTTTCATGAAATACTCCACAGAATGTCTAAGGCTTGGATTCTTCCACACAGCTACCCAAGCTGTGTGAACTGATAATGAAGAGTGAGTATGCTTGAATTTTTGGAGATCTGGGTCGCTATGGATCCGCTCAGTCCAAGATCTCGATTGAAAGTCGAATACTGCAGAGTTTACTTTCTTTTTCCATAAGGTATAACATGGGAAATTGCCGTTGTCGAGAAAGGTCCTGATATGATCCATTAAGCCATACTTATCACACAGTCTATAGATATCTGGCACCAGACCTTGTTCATTTGGTGAACCTCCATGGTGATAGCTGAGCAGTCGAGCGAGGAGTATCTTGTTTGGACGATATGACGTATCCATTTTCAATTGCCTGCCGAAGAACAGACTTTTACTGGAGTCTATCACGCCTTCAAGTGTCATAACACCAAGCAGACCCAAACATACGTCAGTACGAGTTAGTTTCGGCAATCCTTGAATACACTTAATTATATATCTGTATGTCCTCTCCAGCATCGTAATTTCAGTTTCCGTTAGGGCTGACCAGAGCTCACATCCGTATAGGGCCTTGGGTAGTGACAAACTTGGGACTAAATCCAGACCTGATGAGAATATGTGCACTGGCTCTCATTGTCGTACATGCATTCAGTGTTCTCTCTGTTGACGACATGTTAGCAGCTAGGGTTATTCCAACGTGCTTTATAGTGACAGTACGTAGCGAATTACTACCATAAAGCGTGAGATCAGGGTCACCTCTGCATTTGCGTTTGGCACATGGGAACGTCATGATCTCAGATTTGCTAGCAGAGAAAGTAAACCTCCATCGTTTGCTATAGTTCTCAGCTATCAGCAATAATGTCTTTAGACCAATGTATGATGGGCTCACCAAGGCTATGCCATCTGCCTGTGTCTGGCAGCATGTGTTAAGATCGAGAATGAATGAGCCTCTATTAGCACTAGTCAGTTCTGACAGGAGTTCGTTAATGAATAAAAGGTAGGGTCTGGCAGACAAGATCCCGCCCTGGCGAACACCTTGCCGTAACTGAACCGTCTTGATTGAGTTTCCTGTTTTCACAGAGCTCTTCATACCAGTATACAGCCTGTCAAATAAACGCCACATCTGGCCATTGACGCCATTATCAAATAGTTTGACTCTCAAACCATCATGTCAAACAGTGTCAAATGCCTTGGAAGAGTCAACGAAGGCAACACTGACATCTGACCGCAGTTCGTGATAGCAATGAAGGGTTTCCTGTCAACGAAGGACAGTAAAATAACTAGATTATTACAGATTCGAATTTAAAACTAGTAATTAAATCTAAAACAGTTTAACTATAGGTTAAAAACAGGCTATATATTGCCAACAACTGAAGGTAGTTCACTATACTAGGGACCATGGGGACTTACAGTACATTTGCTTCCTGCACGGACCCTAGCTGGAATTACACCATCCCTTCACCTAATAGCAATTTTAGATAATCTAGCCACAAATTAAACAAACATATATTCTACGATTAAAAAAGGGGGAGAGTTTAAATTGACCTTGAATGTTTTGGGACTTATGTATCCTCTCAGGAGGACAATCATTTTACAGCACTTTAACACCCCTCGAGGATACAGCCATTAACAATCTCAGTTATTAATTCAAACTTCCAATCATAAAATATTTACCTATTTACAAATCTGTTAACAAATCTAATTATTTTAAAAATGCAATAATTAAATGAGAACTTATATTACTAAAAAAGTCCTTCATAGTTCGTGATTTAAAATAGATATCCTTTGTGATGGAATATTCAACACAGTAAAGCAAGACATGCTTGACCGTGGTTCTCTCATCACAAGGGATTTAGAACGGAGGATCCTTACCTTTTAATAGGTACTTATGAATATATTTTGTGTGGCCAATACACCAATCGTCGTATGATGACCTCTTCAACTCTGGACTGACAACGCAAGTAGATGTAACCAATATAGGGTTTTATTTCATGTTCATATTTATTAATACCTACCTGGGTGTCCCCCTTCTTTTGCATCAGATCATGCATATAAGATCTAATTTCAGCTTTGCAATCAGAGAATGGGATCAGAAGTGGTGTCACAGATTTGTTGAGTGCTGCCTTGTCAGCAAAATCGGCCATTGTGTTCCAGGAAATGCCAACGTGGCTGGGTAACCAACAGAAGACGATTTCGTATTGGCCAGTTGCAAGATCATTATATTCAATAATTTCAATTAAAAGTGGATGTTTGCAAGAAAGATTTTTGATAGCCTGAAGGCAAGAAAGAAAATCGGAAAAGATTATGTATTGTTTATATTTAGGGTGTTTATTAATATATTTTAAGGCTGTTAATACTGCGTTAGCTTCTGCTGTGAAAACATAACTGTTATCAGTTAATCTAGAAGATATTGTTTTGGAGCACAAGCTACTGCGCCACCATCCTTGGATCCATCTGTAAATTAGGATTTGTATGTATCATATTTATTTCTTAATTGAGTAAATTCTTGTTTGTACTGTAATTCATTAGTTTCTGATTTTTTAAATGTGGTTAATCTTAGGTCAACGTGTGGCCTAACCAATTGCCAAGGAAGAGAAGAAAGCAAACGGGAAGGAGAGAAATTTTCTAGCTCAATGCCAGCAGCAGAAAGGCAAGGTTTGACTCTTAGTCCCAGAGGCGGAACAGGAGAAGACTTTTTATCGTATAGATCCTCATAAAGACGATTAAAAACACAGTTAAACGCAGTATTTGACTCGCTAGAATAGAGTTTTGTTACATACTGCAAGGATAATTCTATACGGCGTTGTGTAAGAGATGGCTCATCAGCCTCGACGTAGAGACTGTCAAGAGGAGAGTTTCTAAAGGACCCAAGACAAAGTCTTAGGCCTTAGTGGTGGGCAGAATCTAATAGTTTTAGGTTGCTTTTGCAGGCTCTACCATAAACGATGGAACCATAATCAAGTTTGGAACGTACCAGTGATCGATATAGATGGAGGAGGGTAGCTTGATCCCCACCCCACTTAGAATTGAAAACGACTTTCAACAAGTCAAGTGCCTTCAGGCATTGAGTTTTAAGTGCTTTAATATGTGGTAGAAACGTTAAGTGTGAGTCAAAAATAATACTCGAGAACTTGGCCTCCTTCACAACTTTAATTGGTGTGCCATTTAGAGATAGTTCCGGGTCTTTATGCGGTTTGTATTAACGGCAGAAATGTATACAATTAGTTTTGGATTTAGAAAATTTAAAGCCGTTTTCAAGACACCATGTTTGTGTGTGTTTAAACACAGCTGCAGTTGCCGTTCAATAGTATGCATATTTTTACCATGACAAGAAATTTTAAAATCATCCACAAATAGTGATCCATCGATTGAATCGTTTAAAACCTTGGAAAAACTGTTGATCCTGATACTAAATAAAGTCACAGACAAAATACTGCCTTGTGGGACACCGTGATTTTAAGGAAAGTTTCTTGTAAACAAAGAGCAGATGAGTTTAGATCTTGGATTAATAGTTGAAGATCAGAAAAACTGTTCCGAAGACCTCTACGGTTCCATTGTATCAAACTGTCAGGGCAGTTCATGTGGGTACAATAGAAGATCGTGTGTGAGAAGGTCCTTTACGCTGTAATGGCAGCGATGGAGTGACCTCCATATCCAGATGTTCAAAGATATTATGAACCTCCAGAGGAACAGTCAAGGGTAAAGGTACCTGAATATGTTTGAGGCCCTTTGAATCATTTCCCTTTAGTTTTTGTTTTTCCTTCTTTGTAAGCGAAGCGTTTCGTTTTATCTCAATAACAGGTTGAGACTGACTTTCTGTTTCAGGTACAGTTGTTGATTCTGCTATTGTTTTAGCAGACACGGTGGTTTGTGAAGCTGATGTAGATTTGGAAGGCATGACTTCATAAAGAACGGTCTGTACATTTGACATCCTTGATCAACCTTTGGAATTGAGGAGGAAACTGCAGCAGAGTAAGACACTGTAGAAGTGAGCGAGAAAGTCTCCTTTTCAACTTCTCTGCCTCAGTAAAAGAAATATCTTTAGAATATTTGATTGTGAGAATTTTATTTTGTTGCACATAGCAAGGACATGATTTTGAGGACATGTGGTCGCCACTGCAGTTTGCACACTTGATCATGTCTGTGCAGTCGGTACTGTCATGTAGTTTACTGGAGCGGGAGCACAATTGGGAGTTACGGCAAGATTTTGCACCATGTCCAAACTGTTGACATCTGAAACACCGGAGAGGATTTGGTATATATACATCAACTCCGATGTTGAAATACCCAGCTTTGATTGATGAAGGGATTTTCGATGGTGCAAACATGAAGAGGTAAGTGTTGGTATTGTCCAAGAGCGTTCGTTGTAGTACTCTCGGATGGTAGATCAAGAGGCGGAAGACAAAAGTCAGCAGTATAGTTGAAGACAGCAGCAGCCATGTTTATTATGGTTGGATAATAATGGTCGAAATGGTACAAAGGATGGAAATCACGTGACAGAACGCACATCGGGACCGACTGTGGATGTGGAGACCCGAGGCGTGTTAAGAACCGCGAGCGCCCGCGATCGCTCGCGAGCGCTCGTTCCTGAACGCCTGTGACCGTGCGAGCGCCCGCGCGCGCACGCGAGCCATCCCCACAGCTTCCTCGCCAAGCGAACCAAGATGGCGACCAACACGGAGACGGTAGAAGAGGTGGTGCTGCAAAACCCCGCAGGCACAAAACGTTACACTCTGTTCGTTCCCACGTCACTGAGGATCTATACCGACACTGGTAAGCGAACTGTTCAACCGTGAAACAGTCACGCAGTGGATGTTATGAGGCTGTGCTATGATGGAATCCTGAGCAAACGCGTCGCTTCACACGCGTGGTCATTGCCTCCCACTGTCACAAGTGAAGGACACTGCATTAATACAGCATCTTCAATGTTTAATGTTGCAGCTCGTTGACAGCTACAATTATGATTGTGCATTAAGGGTTTAAAATGTCCATGTCACATGTACAGGCTATGAAGAAAACATTATGAATGTACACATTGGTAAGAGTCCCTCCCGTTCCCCCATCCCAAATAATATTTATAAATATACTAAAATTATGAACAAAACTGAACACAACAATTACTAGAGAACTCACAAAATGAATAAAAGTCCAATATTGAAGTTAGGGTAAGGTTGAAGTTGAGGGTTAGGTTTAACGTTAAGTTGAGAGGCAGGTGTAGGGTTGGGGGAAGTAAAGGAACCGTTCTCTTCATATCTGTGATGAAAAGATGTGAAATTGTGAATAATGAATTTACAGAGAATTCTGTGGTCCATAACAATGTCCAATAATTGGTAATTGCTAAGACATTGGTATGGTTTTCACTACGTCCAGGCACTTCAGCTGCCATCTACAATTACCTCCAGAGAATCTATCCAGTGGATGAGACAGGATGCAAAAAATTGTGTGAGTAAATAATGATTTGACATCTGTGCGTATTGAAATGTGATGTGTGATAACTGTGTACATAATGTCAACTGTCAGAAATGCATACAAGGGTGCTACATTGTCTACTGTCTGATCCCACAATTCAAAAGTATTGATTTACATATATATATGTATTTGTTGCAGTACTGACGCAGTCACTGCAAGTCTTAGCAGACCTCGGGCTGCTACAGACATGGTCAGCCATGGCCAAGGGCAGTGGAGTTGCCTTAGGCAAACATGCCACCTTTGATCAACTGTCTCAGGCTGCCTATAGCCGAGATGTTGATGACGATGTTCTCGGTACACTGGGTGCAGTTGCGCCCAATCACCTAACTGCGCAGGAGAAAGTCAGATTCATGGAGATTGGTGTGGCTGCACTTCCCAAGGGTGAGTTAGTTGTATTGCGATATCCACTTAAGTAACACTAGTGAATGATCTTAGGAGTGTTATAGAGAAAAGGCAAGCGGAAACGTAAATCATTTCTGAATGGTTCCATCGGTGAATACTGCTATGTCCTTGTAGGGACACCAACGCTGGAACCAGAGATGCTACCAATCATCAAAAAACTGAGGACATCCAGATGTTGCAACACCGAAGCACCCAGCACCTCCTCTGCACCACCACCAAGGGCCTCCTCAACTCCTCCGGCACACAGCACCTCCTCTGCACCAACACCCAGGGCCTCCTCAACTCCTCCGGCACACAGGACCACCATTTCAGCTGAAGGTTTGGTTTTTCCTATAGAATAGCCTTTATGCAATGGGTATAGTATTTTAAAAAACAAGTTTGAATACAAGTAGTACAGCTACTACTACCATATAACATTTGTAATACCAATAGTTGAAGTCACTGGGGAAGTGAGGTTGTGGAATGCACTTTGAGCATGCCCCGTAATGATGTGAATGAATATGATCATCATTACATCGCCCACTCTGCCTCTTGGGTACCCATTCACTGCTCTGTGAACAGAGGCATATGGTGAGTGAAGCCATTTACCCAATGTGATACAACACGTTTATCAACACATGTCTGTGTATCTCGCCACTGCAACATTGACACCTATGTATGCACAATATGTAACACTTGTGTCAATCTTGTATTAACAACGAAGGAGCGGGGAATGTTTTTTTGTTGAGGAGAAATATTGTGTTGTCATGTCACAGTTGCCACTGGTGCGGGGGATATTGATGACTTTGTCTACGTGTTGATGACGTTTTCAAACATAACATCATTCTCATATTTTCATTTAGCTTTTGAATTGAAAATGATTACACCTCTTTTTTAAACCTCACTGCTTCATTACAGACCATGCAAGAGAGGAAGGGGATGAAGGTATGTTAATTGAATCAAAGGGCAGTTATATGCAATGCAGAACATGTGTATTCAGTTCATACACGTTTGAGTTGCATTCCATAAGCCGATTGATATGATAGTCTTTTGTCTGCTTTAGTACCAAGTCACATGCGGTCAGTGTGAGTCTGTATTGAAGAATTCAATAAAACAATAACAACATATGAGTGATTTGGCATCCTTTCATTGATCCTTCCTGTACTTGGAATGTATATTTGTTGATGACTTGAGTAATTTGTGACTAATCTTTAACCATTACAGATGATCTGCAGTCACAGGCTGGGACAGAGACTGAACAAAAACGTAAGAGGATTGTGTTGTACATTACCACCATCATTACCACGGAATTGTACGAACATGATTATCCAGTCGTGTGTATATGCAACAGTTCCTTGTCATCTGGGCTCCTCTGTGGCATATGTAGATGAAATAAAATGTTTAAAGAATATGTCGAGTGCATATTATTGTTATGTTAGTAACTCATGACTCTAACAGGAGATGTACATCTCCACAAATCCTACTGTCTCTCAATGACTCTTATTTCTCCCACAGAACACATTAATTGCTTCTGGCAATAGGTTTCCTTTGTATGCAGAAATGTATGTTTGACAGCTTTTGCAATGTTATGATGGTGAATGGGTTCTGCATTTCCAGTATACTGGAGCCATGCAGCAGTTCTGCTCCTCATAGATCTGAGACAGAGACTGCAACACCTCTTCAGCAGCACTACAGTGTCCATGAAGCAGGCATGGAAATCTGTTGCAGATCGGATGAGTGAAAAGGGCTTTCACTTCACAGGACCTGAATGTGACAGGAAATTCCGCAGCATGAAGTCAAGGTATTTTAAATCATGCACTAGTTGCAGCATTAGAGCTGAATTTTCAATGTCAATATATGCTCACTGAATAGGCATACACTTGTTAATGTTGGGAACACAACAAATCTATTCTTATCCACATATTGAGACATCCGACATGATGGATCTATGAAAATACAGTAACAACAGAACAGAACGGGATGATGCTTTCATCTGTTCAATGCCATGCTGTTAGCACACTACATGCTTCACTTACATACAATTGGAAGCGTATACTGACTACGACTCATCCAAATGCACCTTTCTCATTGTTGGTTGATTTCTATCACCATCAAGAATATTGACTTATCAGAGATTGACACAATATAACGGAACTGGACTAATTATGAGCTTGCATGTGCCATTCATTTTGATATTCCTCTCACATTAATGACATAATTTTAATGTCCAGACACCGGACCATTGTGGGGTGCAATAAGACAACTGGGAGTGGCCGATCAACATGGCGCTATTTCTCCCTAATGGAACATCTCACACAGGGCGACCCTGCAGTGGAGCCACTTGCTCCTGTTGGTAGCTTGCCCACCACACATACACAGGAGAGGAGTAGTGTGGATGGGGAAACAGTGGCAGAAGAACCCCCAGCTACTGCAGCTCTTAGACGGAGGAGATCCTCATCTGGTGACAGGATGGAGTCAGCAATCACTGCTCTGAGGAGAGACCTCCTCACCATGCATCAGGAGAGGATGGAGCTAGGGACTAGGAGGGTGGTGGCCGAGGAGAGTATTGCGCAATTCTTGAAAGAAAAACCAAAATAAAGTCATCATCATTGCACATGTACCTTGTTCAGTCATTCTTTTATTCATTTTGACATTTCAAGAAATCAGTACTGGTCATGCATGGACATTCAGTGGCCATCGTTATGTATTTCACACAAAAACTTCTAAATGTACATGTGTCTTTTCCATCTGCTGTGGACATTATCAGTCTATGACAGCAGTTGTGTTATCTGTTGTCTTTTGTTCACACCCGACTGGTGCTCACTGGGTGAAGTTCCTGTTGTGCCATCAGTGTCCGTCCCATCCACATCAATGTCCTCATCCACAAATGACTCCCTGTTGATTACAAAGTTATGCAGGACACAGCATGTCACAATGACTAATGGGATTTCTCGGACGTTCCTCATGTCCAAATATTTCAGTTTGCGAAATCTGCCCTTCAGTAGTCCGAAACACCGTTCGATATCAACTCTTGTTGAGCTGTGAACTGAATTGTACCTCTTCTCGTCGGCAGTCAGGTGGCCGTTGTCCCTATACGGCACAAGCAAATAAGTTGACAAGGCATATGCAGAATCACCAAGAAGGTGATACTCCTCGGGTAATGGTTCAGTCGCCAATAAATTTGCTATTGGAGAGTTTTTAAATACACGAGAGTCGTGTACAGATCCAGGATATGCAGCAAATACATCCAAAAATTTGAGTTTGTTGTCACACACCCCCTGTAAATGAGATGCGGGAAATCCTTTTCTGCATATGTAGGAGTCTCTGAAATGACGAGGTCCTGGAATGGGAATGTATGTTCCATCAAGACAACCAATGGCTCCAGGAAATCCATATTTTGCAGCATTCTGTTCAGCAATGGCTCTATATTCCTCTTTCCGAGGCCATGTAATTTGCCTGGGTAGAATATCTTCACTGGTCATTGTCCTACAGAAGTTCATCAGGTAGTACCGTAAAGAACCCTTGCTCATGCCAAAACGATCCACGACACTTCGGAAGGTCTCTTGATTGCTGACATACCAGAGGCAAGCCAGCGTTCTCCTCTACAGACTGATGGTTTTGACTTCAGTGTGCGGTCCAATGAGTTCCAGCAAGTCCTGAGCACAGAAAAATTATTTCATAGTAACAACATGTTGTTTTACATGAAGCGCATAATTAAATTTATGTATCATGCTTTCGAACACTGTCACAGACAGCATGTGTTTGTTCAAATTTCTTTGCAAGCAATGACACACATGCAGGGATGTGGATTATCGGTACTTGGCTCAAATGGTTCATATTGTGTATCATTATCGTACATATTTCATCAATGTCGACATGAACATTGACCTCAAACATATCGATATAAGTTTGTATCATGCAATGAACAGACATTTCCTCACATGAATACATTTTGTCAATCGTGGCAACAGTTTCCGCAAACAAAACAAAAAACATGATTTCGTATTATGATTTGCGGCCCTCACACACAGCAGCCCATTCAGATCGATTTGTTATCAGGGACACACTGGAGCTCACAGGCATGCATGTATTCAGTCAGTAACTTATTTACCTGAAAGGATGCTCTCGTCATCCTGAAGTGGGCTCGAAACAGAGGATCGCTGTAGCGGGGCAGCGTTTCTTCTACGTAATTTTCAATACGGTTGGTTCCAAGGAGCTTCTCATGTCTCATCACAGCGTTGTGTTCCCAAATGGTTAATGCAGCAGACACAGCATTATCACAATATGATGTATCCATCGGTTATGGACATTCATGTACTCATGTACACCTGGCGATGGACACTCATGTAAATCAACTCTGCAGAATATGCTTCTTTCATCTACGAGCCATTGGCAGAATACGCCATCTCATCAGTCGTGATGCAGCACACGGTCTGGTCCAGGGACTTGTTATATCAAGAATTGATTACTGCAATAGCCTCCTTTTTGGTATTTCTCAGAAGCTGCTATCAAAATTGCAAAATGTCCAAAATACAGCCTCCCGAATCATAAGCAGAACTTCAAAGCGCTCACACATAACACCTGTCATGAAAAACCTCCACTGGCTGCCTGTTAAATCAAGAATTGACTTTAAAATATTGTGTTTTGTCTACAAATGCCTCAATGGCATAGGCCCAGAATACCTGAAGGAACTCCTTACCCCGTACACTCCAGAAAGACAGCTCCGTTCTCAGAATCTGAACCTACTCTCTGTGCCTCGGTTCAAACTGCAAACTTTTGGAAGGAAATCCTTTGTCTGCTCTGCCCCCTCTACTCTGGAACTCTCTCCCCTATCACCATTAAATCAGCAGTTGACTTTTATTCCTTCAAACGACTTCTCAAGACTCACCTGTTTTCACTGCATTATGACTAGCAACTAGTCCCTTATTGTATATATGTATTATTATCCACTCACTTTGTTAGCGCTTTGAGCATGGGCCTTGTGCATGGAAAAGGCGCATTATAAGTTCACATTTATTATTATTATTATATCGGTTCAGATAGTTCTCTTATCGCTACTTCCAACACACACTCTTCTTCCAGTTGCGCCGCCATTTTGTTTGTTGTCACCGAGCGCTCGTGTCCGTTCAGGGCCTATGCGAGCGTTCGCGGGAGGCAATCGCGCGGGCGCTCGCGGTTCTGAACACGCCTCCGGTCTGTCACTTACACACATTCAGAAGTCGGACGGCGATTCTTCATCGTCGACGTAGTCGTTGGTGAGGCGACGGCCTTGGCCGACGCCCCGACTAGCCACAAGGTCCGTCCACTTCTGTCGATGATCTGGGCCCGTCTCCTCGCCTCGTCTCTGACTGGTCTCCCTGACTTACCATGTGAGTCCGGTTTTATGCATAGGGACATTACGCCACGTTGTGCAAGGTCACTAACCTGTGCACATGTACATACATAAGATCCGCCGACGTGGGGAGATGTTAATTGACATTTACTGATGGCATTGAAAATTAAGGGTCCTGCCCTGAGGGGGGGTTTATGATAAAAGGGCTACACCGAATGATTGCTGAATACATTAAACAGACAAAGGGGGATAGAATTTCGGTGCACTTTGGACTGCTTGACGCCGGCGAGCTGTAAGTAGGATGTTTGTTTGACTGGAGACTGACACGACTGCCCCTCATGTCGGATTATGTGGTGATTGCTAATTTAGTTATCCAGTCTCTTTTGTTAAGTAATTTACTTCCAGGGACCGTGAGAAGACGTTTAGTTAAGCGGTATTGTTTACTTATCCGAGTTTAGTTAACCAGACTCTAATAGTGATAATTAATGAAGAAATTTGCCGGGACCAAAGAAAAGTGTTTACTTATCAGGTCTGTTTAGTTAAGCGGTCTTTACTTAGGCGGTTTCCACTGTATATAGAAACAATTATGTTGTTTGAATATATGAAGTTTTACAGAAACTTATTGGAATGGTTTACTCTATGACAGTATTGATAATTCTCTCACCATCTTTGCTAGTTAACCTTCTTACATGCGTTACACCTTGACTCTGCAGCTCTTCTGCAATTTTATCCTCAGACATGTCAAAGAGGCACTTTGCACGGTTGCGTACAATACCTCTGCACGGATTTAAAGTTTTGTGCACCGAGAAAACGATCTCAGTATTTGCAAAATGATGTGCTTTGAGCAGATTCAGCACATTCCACGAGTAACGAACCAGAACGGAGACGGGTAACATTCTGTACGGTAGCGCATATGCCTTCAATAGACTTAGAAATTACAAAAGGGTTGATTTTGAGGGGCTCACCACCAACACCTGCTACGACTAGAAATCTTGGCCAATAATCAGAATTGTGTACAGATTTCTCATCTTAGGAATTAGTAATATCAGAATCAACATGTCTTCTCTTAGTTTTTGACCGAGAACCAGTTGATTGTGGGCTACCCATAATGAAGGAAAATATATTCAACAGCCCTGCTCCCCACCCACCATGGAGTGTCAACTTGGACGGTGTTGTAGTGAAAGCCAACTACAGACACCAGGGCTACAGGGATGCTATAGTCCAACATAATGGACACAGGTAGCTATTTTTGCCAAACAAGGTATAACTCTGGCTGGTTCTGCCCTAGACAGATCCCTGAAGACAAACAGAACCCGGAGGTTAAAATTGCCAGATTGGTCCATGAGCCACCGCCTTCTGGCATAGGACTCTAGGCAATTTAATATATGAATAATTTGTACACTGAAAACAATGTCCAAAACCCAGTAGCAAAAATGTGCAGAAAATATCACCATGCACAGGACCTAGCATGACCAGCCGATTGATAGGACCCGTCTAGGTGAAGTAAGGGCCATAGTGGTGTCATGGGCAAAAGGAGCACGGTTCCATGCTCCCAGTGCCCCCAACCACCAGACTCCCATCCTCCACCGACACGGGGTTGGGGGCAAACCCACTGCAAACGGGTTGGTGGACCAAATATCCCTGGGTCCACAGGGGAAGAAGAGCGCTTAGCGTTAACCTGCACCCACCACGAGGAGGTGGCTCTTCGCGGGTGCCTTCTATTTTGAAAAGGAAAAAGTCATAGCACCAAACACAATAGGAAACAATTCGTTATTCTCTCTACAAAGTTTCAATTTTACCAGGCAACCGATGTCACATTGGCCAGTAGAAAGATCGTTGTAAAGTTCTAAAATGTCCAGGATGATAGAGTGACTTTTACTACCATTATGAAGTGCTTGAAGGCAAGACGGTGAATCAGTAAAAATGATGAAGGATTTGTTTCTGACTTTTTGAGTTTGGTGAGGGTAAGATCCACCTGTGGTTTCACCATCTGCCACGGTGGCGAAGACAGAAGCCGGAAAGGTGCTATGAAATCGAGATCAATGTTAGCTGCATATATGTGTGGTTGAATTCTGATTCCAAGTGGTGGAACCAGGCTTGGCATTTTAGGAAACAGGTTTTCATAGAGAGGGTTAAAACAAAATTGTATGCTGGATTGGACTGACTTGAACGCAATTTTGTGATATACTGCAGTGAAAGTTTAATGCGGCGTTGTTCAAGGGAGGGTTCGTTAGCCTCTGCATATGGACTGTCTACCGGAGAGGTC